GCAAGGTTTTGAGTATAGTTGCCATGGCAATCTGCCACATGACAAGGGACGGATGATGATGAAAACTAAAGGGAAAATCAGTAGGTTTGACGCGTTGCCGTAGAAGGGCGGCAAAGTAGCATATCCAGGCGGTCTTAGCAACCGTGATTTTTGGGCAGAGCCCCCGCCGTGAAGCGGCTTCAGGGCATCTTACCGCCTGGGTAATCATTATAGTACCGGACTGTTGTTCTGCGCCTTCTACAGCTACTAGAAGCAGCCATGGCGCTCTAACTGGACCTCCGAAAACCTTCGCTTCAGTTGTAGTAATATTCAGCAGCCCAAAACAACAGTAACACATGCAACAGTGATACAACGCTGCTCCATGGCGCCTTACAAAAGCTCGACCCGGCTCCGAAAACAAGCGGACAGCAGGACAGCCGGACACATCCCACCAACCACCATATACGGTTGGCCCCAACCGCACACACGGACAGCCGGCCGCACGGACGCTCATCATCACCCAGCGGATTGCCCCTGTCCGTGTGTCCATAACATCAAAACATACAAACTAGACAAAAATATTAATTGCACCTAATAGTTGTTTGTTCGCTGTATTCAGTAAAAATAACTGCAAGGCAAACCAACTTGATTTCACAATAAACAAATTATTGACCAGCCACTAGGAGCAAAAATGCCGTTTTGGGCCAACTGAAACCCCTAGGCTACCAGTAACCTGAGCTTGAATTTAATGTTTGTGCAGCACAGGCGCATACGCATAAGCTGTGTTAGCCTTGTAGCCTAGTGGCTAGCCATGTGAAAGTGGCGAGCCAACATTAGCCAACCATCGGAAAGCCTATCGGTGAAAATTGCACCGAACTCTGCACTGAGACCCCTACTGCGCCATTCTGCGCTTCCCGGCATTTCGCTTGGGCTTTTTCTGACATATATACGCCTTATGCTTGTGCGCGTAAGGAAGCGTACACGCATGGGCCGCCGATGCCCAGTTCAATTTCTGGCCAGTAAGTCCGGACGTCCAAAGCCAAATGTCACCATTCTGCTCATGTACAGATCCGGCTTGTTAGGCACATTTCCATTGTTACCTCCTGGCCAAGGCCCCATCCCGGTCCGAAAGTCAGCGCCCCAGACACTTTGTGAATTTGCCCCAATAAGTAGTCAAGAGATAAAGAAGAATTCCTTGTAAGCTTTCCAGGAGGCGCCTGTGTAGACAGGGCCAGTCAAACTTTTCACCGGCTTCATACTGCATTCCACCAACGGCCGAAGGCCGGCCCAAGCGCTCAGATTTCGCAGAGCTTAGAGTAATTGCAACCCATTACTCCTTGTCAATATGCCTACTTATAGGCAAAAGTCGGATTCCATTCGCTGCGCTTTAGGCACTTTTCCATCTCGGTCAATTGGGGCAAGGCCATAAGTCAGAGCGCCATTTCTGCTCCTAGCGAGCCATTGAAAAGGACCACCTCGGCAACACCAATTAGCGCGCCTATATGGTGTGTCCTGGTACCGTAAATAGTATTTAGTGTACCCTAACAATGTTCCTGTACTGAAGAGGAGGGGCTCCGCCCTTATCCAGCTTTGAGGAAGCTGAACCCCCTTGTCGTTCCTGACACATGGATACACGGACAGGAGCACTCCGTTGGGTGATGAAGAGCGTCTGGCTGTCCGGGTGTGCAGTTGGGGGCAACCTTGGTGATTGGTGGGATGTGCCCGGCAGCTCCGGCTGTCCACTTGTTTTCGGAGCCACATCACAGCGGGGGTTCCGCCCAAAACGTCATTTATAGGTGCATACAAAACCTTTGCACTTTGAATGAGTTTCAAACTTGCTGCCTGACTCCAGTGGAGGTGAGTTGCAAGTTTTACCAAAAGAACATTAAGCGCTTATTGATATCTATATGGTAATGTTACATCCACCTTGCTCCTTAACCTCGCTTTTCATAAGAACCCTATTCCCCCCCCCCGAGGGTGTTATCATTTTTTGGAATCCAGTATTCGACTGCTCAACTCGCGCCAGTGAGGGAAAGGAAACCACCGGTTGCCTTTATGCCGTGTCCTGTATACTTTGACGCGATGGTGTAGTTATGCTGGGCCCCAGCAGCTCCAAACGCGTTCGCCGCTCAATGGGCGGTTCGCCTCGGGTGCAAAAACGTACATGGCCCGCCCCCCCGCCCTTACACTGAGCATAAGCCTATTGAGTGGCGCTAGCTTTGCGATGCCTGCTTGCACTTTGGCAAATGGGTCCCTAACATGGTCGCCAACATTGCTGTCCTCAAGCCAACAGTTCCTTCAAAAGAGTACTTCTATAGGCAAAGCCTTTAGAGTTATTGTACTTCACGTGATTTTGTGACCCAGGAAAATTGTCGTCACGACTTTCAGCGCAATGTGAACTGCATTTGCATGCTGCGATACGCCTACCTAAGAACGAATTCAACACAGCTTTATTAATCGGCATACGTATGCGCAAGGAAAGCATGCATACTTGAAAAGCGAACCAAGTTTGTTGTCCGTTAGTGTCTGGGAAAACTATTGCAGACACACGCGGACACGAAGGCACTCTTATAGAATGCTCTTCAATAAAGAACTGTACTCCGTATACAATAACGTGTTCAAGAGGTGAGACGCGCGAACAACACGCGTGCGACCCAACCTAGTGTTGCTAACATTGAACTCTGGTGCAACCCCTTCTACTTTTACTGCCATATCCGACAAGCCGTTACTTACATTCTTTGAAGCAGTGCTTTCGTGACGCAAGCTAGTTACCTGACTCGCAATGGAGAACGGAGCACCAGTAGTTGCACATGTGCAATGCGTGTGTTCTTCGCGCACATGGGCCGAGGAGCGATAATCGCAACGTGCGGCTACCGTGGGAGACCGTTGCCACTTGTAAATGTGCACGTTTGATGGATGGCCACCCGTTGCTCCTGCCCATCAACAAGGGGGTTCAGCTTCCTCAAAGCTGGAAAAGGGCGGAGCCCCTCCTATTGAGTACAGGAACGTATTATTACCACTGGAATGAATGCGATTAGTACAGGGGAGTCCGAACGACTCAGGGCCTTATAGACCTGGAATGGCACGGCATGCGCTCCTGTGACTCCACGGACCAGTTGACTTAACACACCTTGTTATACGGACGCTGAACCCCCTTGTTTACTTTAGTTAGAGTGTTCGTTGCATGGCTAGACGAGCTTAGAGCCCCTTGTCCAGCCGAGGCCGGCCGCCATGGCGTACGTAGTGTCCTCACTCATTGCACTCATTGTTAGGTTACACCTGTTCAATCGAGTACTCAGTAATGTCTTATCATGCTTGATAACACCCACGCATTAGGCTACAGAACCCAAATCGACGGCGTATCTGCCACATGGGAGTGCTTTTCAGGGTCCCCCAGGTCGTTTAGGTTTCGCCTACGTTACTAACATGAGGAGGAGGTCAGGCTCGGCAATGTCGGCATCGTGCTCCTAAGGACTTCGGCAATTGCACCGGAACATCGCTGTTATCTTCTAGGCGAGGTACCTGTTTGCGTTACAGTTCATAGGCATTATGGCGCAGAAACGAATAACAAAGGCCGGCAACATCGTCTCAAAGGAGGTGGGCTCAGCGTAGCACAGTCGATGCACGCAAGCATGCTCTCGCCGACTTTCACAGGTAGCCCTTTGGCGACACGCCGCTGTTTCCAATTCATTAAATACTGTTTACGGTACCAGGACAAACCATAGAGGAGCGCTAATCGGTGTTGCCGCGGTGGTCCTTTTGAATGGCTGGTCAATAAATCGTTTGTTGCGAAATTAAGTTTGTTTGGCCTCCAGTTATTTTTACTGAATACAGATAACAAATATCTATTAGGTGCAATAAATAGTTTTGTCTAGTTTGTATGTTTTGCCGTTACGGACACACGGACGGACACACGGACGGACACATGGACAGGGGCAATCCTGGGGGGCGAAGCCCCCCCGAAGCCGCTTCGCGGCGGGGGCTCCGCCCAAAAAGGGAACAACATTGATTAAGCATGCACAATGGCTGTTCTTGATGCACATGAGCCGATCAGCGATAATGGAAACGTGCGCTACCATGGGAGACATCGCCACGTGTGGTTGTGCACGGTTGATGGATGGCCACCCGTTTCTGCTGTCCATCAAAAGGGAACAGCATCAATTGCGCATTCATGATGTTGCTGTTCTTGCTGCATATACACCATTCGATATGCGTATGCTCAGTGTAAGGGCGGGGGGGCGGGCCATGTACGTTTTTTGCACGTGGAGCCGCTGGGGCCGGCATAACTACGCCACACGGCGTAAAGGCAACCAGTGGATTTCCGAGGAACAGCAGCGCTTGCCTTCCTTACTACTGCTGTTCTTTGCCCTAAGCATAGACGTATAGAAGCAAGCATCGTTAACAACTGGCCAGCGTGCGGGTGCCCAGCACTTCGTCAGGGGGGGAAGAATTCACCGCCCCCCCGCTGACACACCCAGGATTAGTCGAGGGGGGGGGCTCGCTGTAAGTCCCAAGTCGTTTCGGCCCCGTGGTTCCCTAAAAACCTATTATTATCTTTGGTCAACCCTCCATGCTGCATGCCCACAGGGACATGACGGAATCATCAGCAGTGTGGAATGGGGCCCGGGTATCCAATGACAAGACCATCCGGCTATGGGATGCAGGCAGCGGCAAATGCACTCCACCTTGAAGGTGAGCCAAAAGGCATGGCAACCAGCAGGCATGGTAAAGCAGCCTACACCCAAGAAGTACCATGCAAAACTGCGGTGATGTCTTCTGTTTGGATAGCTTGTCAATAAGAGGTAGTGGTAGGTTCCTACAGGCCAAAACATGGATCAGATGGCACTCTTCGTGTTCTCAATGCCGGCACCCCGTATTGTAAGTGGTAATATTGCGTACACACAGAGCATTTAAAATGGACAAATGGCAATAACCAAGAAAAGACATTACATTATGTAAGGAAGAGGAACGCCATACATCTGAGAAGTCCTTAGCTGCAGTTGTTCAAATGAACACCATACCTGGTCTACTTCGTAAGCCCACTGGTCATCAGATGCAGCAGCGATGGCAGCAGCAGTAGGGGGGGGAGGGCCGGTCCACGGCACGACTGCAGATGATGGTGATGGCGACTGGCTGCGAAGATAGGCGCAAACATCTTCCCACGAGAAGATCTCCACAAGCAATGTCAAAGAAGCAACCGTTGGTTGGCTACCGCTGACAGTTGGCTTGTGCTTGGAAAACATTCCGAAATTGACCAGATATAATAATAACTGGCGAGCTGTCCACTTGCTAAGCGTAGGACTCCAATCACCAAGGATACCCAGCCCAGCATCAGCACATATGAGTGCCTCCCACTTCTTGTCGATGCCAACCTCCTCAGTATGTAGCCTCTGAAACACATCCATTTTTGTTGTCCTCGCCCGAGTGCGCCAGTAGTGGTCTTCAATTGAATCAGAAATTTTGCGCTTATAGTGTACATGCTCATTATCCCGATACTCAATGTTCATTGCGATGCAAACTCGGCTGCTGCTGCCATGCCATAGCTCCAAGAAGGTCTTCAGCATGACAGTGTCGAGGGTAGCGAGGAATGATAGAACCACCACGTTGAGGATGGCACTGAGCAGGTTGGGGTCGGGTAGTGATTCATTGACATCATTGGACCGGTAGAGGGCAACATAGACTGACATACCAACTAGGGCTAAGGGCTGAAGGGTGTCAATAAAAATTGATGACCAGCAGAACCAAAGATACAGCCTTTTCCAGCCAGCCCAGGTTTGACGTGGGGCATCGTGTTGGTTACTGCTGTCAGTGTTGGCATCCTGGACAGAGTCGGTGGTGTAGGGTGGTGATGAGGTATAATAGCTAGGCCGGATCCAACAAATAACACGCTTTTTATAGTTGTGCAGCCAAGTTAGTAATCTGCTTTGAAGTGGACTGAAGCATTGGCTACCACAGGCAACAGAGGCAGCTTTGGCAGGTGGGGAGCTGTTGGCAGAGCCTGTGCTGTCGGCCAGCGATGATGTTGTATAGCCAGGCTGCTGGAGCTTGCAAATAAAACGCCATAAGTAGCACAGCCCCTTGATTGACTTGTATATGGTCATCAAAATGGGGACCACCTGGAGGAATAGGACACTGATAATCACAACCCACCTGCAAATACAGTGCAAGGCAGCCAAGGGAAACAAGAAGTTCTTGTTAGGGTATGCTGCTGGGCTGGGTGAAGCGCTGGTGGTATTTCACACTCTCCTTGGCCCCTGCTGTCCATGCACGTCTTTTTGGGCGGAGCCCCCGCCGCGAAGCGGCTTCGGGGGGGCTTCGCCCCCCAGGATTGCCCCTGTCCGTGTGTCCGTGTGTCCGTGTGTCCGTGTGTCCGTCCGTGTGTCCGTAACGGCAAAACATACAAACTAGACAAAACTATTTATTGCACCTAATAGATATTTGTTATCTGTATTCAGTAAAAATAACTGGAAGCCAAACAAACTTAATTTCGCAACAAACGATTTAATGACCAGCCATTCAAAAGGACCACCGCGGCAACACCGATTAGCGCTCCTCTATGGTTTGTCCTGGTACCGTAAACAGTATTTAATGAATTGGAAACAGCGGCGTGTCGCCAAAGGGCTACCTGTGAAAGTCGGCGAGAGCATGCTTGCTTCCATCGATTGTGCTACTCTGAGCTCACACAATCCTTTGTGACGATGTTGCCTGCCATTGCTATTGGTTTGTGTGCCATAATGCCTATGAACTGTAATGCAAACGGGTACCTCGCCTATAAGCTAACATGCGATGTTGGGGCGCAATGGCTGAAGTCCTTCTGAGCACGATGCCGAGATTGCCGAGCCTGACCTCCTCATCATGTTAGTAATGTAGGTGAAACCTAAACGACCTACGCGACCCTGAAAGCACTCCCATGTGGCAGTTACGCCGTCGATTTGGGTTCTGTAGCCTAATGCGTGGGTGTTATCAAGCATGATAAGACGTTACTGAGTGCGCGATTGAACAGGCGTAACCTAACAATGTGTGCAATGAGTGAGGACACTATGTACGCCGTGGGTGAACAAGGCGGCCGGCCTTGGCTGGACAAGGGGCTCTGAGCTTGTCTAGCCATGCAACGAGCACTAAAACTACAGTGAACAAGGGGGTTCAGCGTCCGTATAACATCCGTGTTAGGTCATCTGGTGCCGTGGAGTCACAGGAGCGCATGCCGTGCTCATTCCAAGTCTATAAGGCCCATTGAGTCGTTCCACTCCCCTGTAATCGCATTCATTCCAGTGGTAATAATACATTCCTGTACTGAAGAGGAGGGGCTCCGCCCTTTTCCAGCTTTGAGGAAGCTGAACCCCCTTGTTATGCATAACACGTGCTGCTACTTTCGAGCGTCTACCGTACCTAAGCTAACATGTATATAGCTTATTGGCCCGGTTTTTGGCCAGCCCTTGATTCCAGGCGCTCTGCTAGGCCGCGGCTTGGAAGCATGGGAACAGCTATAGGGATACCCCGGCGCCTTCCTAAAAACGTTTCTCTGAAACCAACTGGAAGTAGCCCAGTAAGCAGCATGCGCGACATGGCTATTTGTAATTTTATAATTATAGAGACATGGCTATTTGCAATGTTGCATGGAGATAAGCAAAGCAACCAGGCACACGACACATGGGCCTGCTATGAGATCGCTTTGGTCTGGTTGGTAGTATGCAAAGTAAGTGCAAGCTGGCCTACCAGCGGGCGGTAAGAGGTTTTCTTATAAACCCCAACCCAAAATTTCCATAAGAAGGCCTCGGAGCCACCCACCCACCATAACTGGAAGCCAAACAAACTTCGCAATAAAACAATATATTGACCAGCCATCGAAAAGGACCACCTGCAACACCGATTAGCGCTCCTCTTTGGTGTGTCCTGGTACCGAAAGCAGTATTTAGTGAATTGGTAACAGCGGCGTGCCGGCTAAGGGCTACTTGTGAAAGCCGGCTGGAGCATGCTCGCATCTACTGTGCTACTCAGAGCCCACACAATCCTTTGTGACGATGTTGCCAGCCTTTGCTATGGGTTTGTGCGTATGAACTGTAACGCAAACGGGTAAGGGGCACCTCGCTTACAAGCTAACATGCCATGTGACGGCGCAATGGCTGAAGTCCTTCTGAGCACGATGCCGAGATTGCCGAGCCTGACCTCCTCATCATGTTAGTAATGTAGGTGAAACCCTAACGACCTGCGGGACCCTGAAAGCACACCCTACGTCCGTAACAAAACCTGCCTGCCTGCCGGCACCGTAGTTGCACTAATGTTCTTACAATATAATTAATTATTTCAGACGGTAAAATTTTTCTAGAAAAGTATAGCCTTCCCAGTAAAAAGCATTAAACGTTTTCCAGAAACTCAGGGGATTGCGGTAAAAGTGGAGGAGAGGCCGGCTGGGCGGGGCGGGGTGCGTGGGATGGACAGGCGGGGGGGTTTAGACATGGCTAGGCAGTATGGGGTTTGGAAGGCGGTGCTCGAGATCATGGCCTGAGACCAAGGCGTTTAGGGATCCCCTGACTCAAACACCCTCCCAAACCTTCGTCTGTTGCCCCCATGCGCTTCCGGCCTTCACCTGTGGTAATTGGGGTTGGGTTACAGTGTTCCTGGGAGGCCCCCAAGGTCAACGCTAGCCACTACGGGACCGGTAAATTGTTTTGAGTGCCGGTGTAAACCTCTGGACCTGCCGTAAGAAACTTCATGTTGTAAACATATTGGAAAATAATTTTGCTTACGCAAAACCTCTAAAAGAGAAAACACTAGTGCAGCTACGGTATCTGCTATGGGACAAGTCGTGTTCACCAACACCCACAACGGGCAGTGATAATAATGCATTACAACTCAAGATCTGCAGCCTGTCTACTGTAACTGCCCTGCCACATAAAATATCGCATGTGTATGGCCCCCCCTGCTGCCGTGCAAAGGTGGTCCCTGCATCTAACACTGACCTAAATACGAGTTCAACACATTTGTGGTTGAAATACACCACCCTATGTCTGCCCCTGCTCTCCCTACATGCACGCCAACTTCGTTGAACGTGGAGCCTGTACAGGTTAATTGACCCAGCCCCGCCTTCACTAGTAAGCAATTTTGTCCATTTACTAAGTTCGTGTTCACTTTCTTGTCCATTTGGGAACTAGACGGCTCAATCTGGGCTACTGTGGTCCAATGCTGATGTGTCTTGGGACCCTTAAAGAGCCGTGCCCCTTATTTTGATCCAAGTATATAACAAATGATTGGGAATGTCCTCATGCCAACATGCTGCAGCGTAAAGAACAACTAAAAACTGGAAGCACACCCGGAGTCCCCACACAACATGACATCAATTTGATTGGGCGGTCCGTTTTTGCATTGAGGACTTACTCTGTTCTCCTTGCAGCACTTGTACGAGGGTATATCTCCACATCCTCACCAAAACGTGTTCTTTCCAGCCATAGCGTAAACAGGCCAGCAATGAGCCATACCAATGACGTGGACACCAGCTGCACAACGACAGACTTCCAGTCAGCCGCCATCAAGAAGAACTGTGATATGGCATCATCACAAGCAATGGGAATGGTGAAGGCGACGGAGGGCTGATCCCAGTCGCCTCTCTCAGCCGGAAGCCCTGCTGTGCAAAATGAAGGGACAGAGATCAACAAATACATAACATTGCCATAGCCCCATATATCTTTAGGAGGTACTTTATTGCGTAGGCAGCGAAGTAGCCAGCGAATCCCTCAGAAAGATAAGTGCCTAAACCGTGAAGGTTCACTCGCAACAAAGACAGTTCGTAACCTGCTTGTATCCCACCCTTTGCACTCACCGCTGCCTTTGTTGCTCTGAACACTATTTTCGTCGACCTGCTTCTGTGCATTCTCGACGTCTACAGGTAGGGGTTCAGGAAGCATGTCTAGTATATAGTACGCCTCCATGGGAATGGCATGGTTGGGAAAAGCATCAAGGACGAAAAATAAGAGGGTGGGTATCATATAGACGCACCAGCGCGGCAATGGAAACATGCTAGGAAATGTGCTAAAAGAACCATGCCGGGGAAATGCTGGTGAAAGCAGCACGAAGGTGAGCCCACAGATGTTAAGCTCGTTCATGCCAAGAGTGCTTGGGGGTCTGGAAGTTGCAAGTGGGGCCGCCATACAATACCGGTAGTATAGTTGCAGCGTTTGCAACATGACATTGACATACGCTTATAACTCGAGGTGGAGGCCAAGGACAGGGACCTAGCTAGGGGGAACCTCGGCCCTGCTGGGGCTCGAGCAGCAGGCCCATGGGGTGACTCCAGAAAGGGGTGCGGAATCAGAGGAAATGCTGTGGAATGGGCGGCAGTGCGGAGGGGTCGAGTACAGAGGCTGTTCCAGTCGTGAGGTTAATGGCGGGGATGGTGGCAACATCTGGCATGGAGGGTGTTTGCAGTGGCCGGATGGGCGTTAATTGTGGCGGAACTTAGGGTGGAGCGGAGGTGAGGGTGGGCGGACCGGTGGGATTTATAGGAGGAGGGGGTATTACCGTACCTGTGTCTGATCACCGTGCAGCCATTTAAATAGTACTGTATTAGCCTAAAGCTTACGTTAGGAAGACCGGAGAGCAGAGCATTGGAAATGCAGATACTTAAAGCTACGGTTCACATCGGATGAGAGAGGAGGTGTATGTAGGTATGGATGGGGCCAGTGAAACCCGAAATTTCGGGTCAGCGCACAATGGGGGCCACGCCATGGGCAATGTATTAGTTAATGCGCAGTCCTTTACTAACACGCAGGCCCCGGACCGATTTTTTTATTTAGGTTTCTTTTGTTCGATGATCACTGGGAGTTACAGTGGAAAGGGGGGGCGGGGGTAAAAGAGCATACTGACGAGGGGGCGGGTGGGTGAAGGCCAGAGCATGACAGGAGTGGTGGCGGAAAGGGTGTTGATGGCAGCTGGGTCAGTGGAGATAGTGGGATAGAGGATGGTATCCGTAGGAAAAGGAGGGTCCTTGTGTGGGGGTACTTGTGTGGGGGTACTCCAGCACGAAGATGATGCCGACGCACAAAGGAAGAGAATACAAAGGTGCGCCAAAGCGCTTGAACTTCCAACTAGGTAGGGGGCCATCGCTAGGGGAATTGGAGAGTATAACAGGGTCCACAGTGGGCTGAGAACGCTGCTGTCAGTGTTAAAGTGTTCGCTTATGCAGCCGGTGGTATAATTAATTAACATATGCGGAGTACGGATGGCGGAGGACACTGAGGAAGTGCTTGAGGTGGCCATCCGGAGGGACACGATGGCGTAGAAGACTCCAGGCCGAAAGTGCGTCATGGATAAGGGCAACGATGATAATCAGTTAAGAACTGTACGTTAGGGGCCGTTTACATATGCGCGGAACTAAAATCGAATAAGGCAGAAACCTTTCTGTCGCATAGAACTCCCGACCTTTCAAGGATTGGGAGCGTGATCAAAATCCTACACGTAGCTGAAATTGCGGAGTCTGGAGGTGCATGCGGGTCACGCATATGTAAACGGTTCCTTAGCATGGAATACGTGATGGGTGAGAGATTGATAGCAGATGGTAGCGTCATTAACTTGACACTCGTGTTCGCTGTTTAGGGCCCTCCACAACCACTGAGTGGGCACACACAAATTTTCTGAGAATGGCCCCACTAAATGTTTTTTGGGCGGAGCGCCTGCCGTGAAGCGAACCTGTACACCCCGCCCCTGTGCCAGCAGGCCATCTCTCACCCAAGGTGGCCGGCGCCGTTTCCTATTGATACCATGCTAGAATGGCATTAACATGGCTGGACGTACTTATCTACAGTTGCCATGGGGATTCAAGGGTCGGTAACACCCAGCGGAAACTATGTCATATGCAAGGGCCATTCCTTCAAAGCTGGTGTGGTGTGGAGGGACGGCTGGCGGACTTGTCGTGTAGTTCGCTTACGTTGTCCTGCTCAACCCCAGCTAGATCCCCGGTACTTCGTGTCGCAGGGATTTCACCTCATGCCAATGTCATACACGTGACTAACATACCGGCGCTATTTACGCTTTTCCTCATAAAGCAAGCTTGATCTGCAACCTTGTCTCCCCGGCCGGAGCTTCCTCTCCATGCCCAAGCAGCCATGGGAAGTGAAGCATACGAAAACCCCGAATGGGCCCCCCAACCCCGTCCCTTACTGTCCCTCCATTCGGCATCACATCGTAGAAACAGAAGGAACAGAAACCTTTAGTGTCCCCCACCTCGCCCCACCCTGGGATTGGGACTCCAGCCGCTGCGCTATTCATTTTACATTGCCCCACCAGGGGGGGTCAGAAATTGCAAAAATAGACCCCCAAGATTCAAACTAGAGGTGCTTAGCGTGGGGACTTCGACTCCGCTTAGGCCTCAGATTAGAGTTTTAAAAGCTTTATTGTAATCCTTCTTCACTTCTTATGTATAGAACAAGTTACAACAACAAATGGTACAATTCTCAGCTGAACTACAGTAGCCCTGATGGAACCGCCTGATTTCCAATTTGCCCTAACGAAAGATACAACGTTTAGAGAAAGAAGTAGATGCGGAGGTCGCGAACACGGCTAGTTGTGTGCACCGCATGTGCCACCAATCATGTCACGAAGGTCGTGTGAAGCTACAACGACCCGGATCACCTGCAGCACGCCACCCTGAGGAACAGCTGACGGAGCTGTACAGAGTTATCACTTATCAGGGACAAGCTCCACTCAGTTCTTCAGCGAGACAGTCACATGGCTGAGGGTCGCATTGCAGCACTCAAAAGCAGCAGCGGCTATGAAGGGGGATGCTTCACGGGTTCGGGGGGAGGGTGCTCGCGGGGGGGAGGTGCGGGTTTGTCGGGCACGGACGAAGGGGGTAGCAGGGGTAGCAGCAGCAGCAGCGGAGGGGGGAGTGGATGATGTGTATGCAGTGCAAGATGAAGCGGATGCGGGAAGTGGCGCCGGGGCGGGGTACTGGTCGAAGGCGTTGCACGACAGGGGGGAAGAGGAGGCAGGGGCCAGGGTCAGGAAGTGATGGTGGTGGTTTTCTGCCCGCCTCCCAAGGGGGTTCTTGTTTAGCATTTAATAGTTTAGCATACAATAGAGCTTAAGCAGAGGAGTCTGACGGCTTTTCTCCCGGCGGGCGTTTTAGTAAAGTTTACACATTGTATGACGCACTTTCTGTACAACAGAGGTGGATGGGTGGTCCTGGGGCCTACCCTTATAAATATTCATTATGAGGTTTATATATATCCTTACCCCCCCTGGTCCGGGTGCCAAAGTCCGAAAACCAGGGATGGAACTAGAATACGCCTCCCCAACTGCAACTCCCTCATGTTAAGCCACTTACCTGGTGCGATAACCACGCGAACATTGGCTGCGGTTCCTCTCTCAGCATCCGTTGCGACATTTGAATTATCAGTATGCACACCTATCACAGAACAAAGGAAAGGTACAACTGTCCGAGAATCCATGGGGGACGTGAAGTACAACAGGAGTAAAAACAGACTTGGAGATACTTGCAGTTCCACCTGGTTCAGAGCAATCAAGCGTCCACGGCCCCTTTGCCTAAGAAGGCCTCCTAAAGCGAGTGCGAGAGCTTTTGAACCCTTGGGACTAAAGGCAACACCAACCTCGCTCACCCTGCTCCTGGGTATCAGCGTTCAAGGCGCCTAACGCGCAGCAAAGACGGCGCCATAATAGGGACATCTATGATGAAGGCCGTCCGTAGCCGGTGTCCGTTGTGGAAAGGGAGCGACGCGGGGAAAGCGGAATGGTTGGCATCAGCATCAACGAACCTGGGCACTAAGCTCGGGCAACCATGTGAGGCAACAGAACGCCGCCAAGCTGCCTCGTGGAGGGACACATATTGTATGCTGCCCCTCGGACTAACCTGTTTCAGCAAAGTTTATGGCCGCCACATTACGAACCACACGTCGCCCACATTCCTACAACTAGGTTGTTCTCTCTTCACCAAATGTATATATTAACATGTTAAGGAATTGTCACCTATTACGAGATTGTTAGAAGATAATGATAATCGTAGCGCCCAGACACTATAAGTCTGCACTTACGGTGTAATGCAGCTAAGTCTCCGGGAAGCTTCTTCGCGGGGTTCGATACATCTTGTTACGGTGGTACCGTCAACACAAATGCGCCTCGTACGGAACTGTACCTAGCACGTGGTCATAGGCAACGGTTTCCTCTCTGTTCCCTTCTTGTGTTGTATCCTTTGTTTGTGCAGCGGTCCACGAGCCTCCTGGCTTGTCTGGGCATTACGAGCCCTTAGCTTGTAATCACCATCAAGCAACAGTACCAAGCATCCTTCTGGAGTGGAGCTACACTAAAGTAAAGGGCCCAGCTGGTTACACTAGCTAAAGAGCCATGCGACTGCATGGACTGTAACCGTTGTCACATGAAGCATGTCAGCCCTAGAAAGCGGCTTCTACCTTCCATGCACTTTTCTTCCTCATTCCACATTCTCATGGGACAAAATCCAAAAGAGGGAATCCAATTGGAAGATTCCGCAATGTGTAGGTGCCGTTCCCGGCAGATTGCTCAATGGACGGCTTCCATCACGTTGGAGCCCTTGGCAGCCAGCAGGGAAATGGCGCTGGCAGCGATGGTGGGAAGAGAGGGGACCGGGCTTTAGGCTGGGGACGTTGTGGCCATGGAGGCTTGAGGCAAGGGGCCGGGGCTGGGGCTTTTGGATTGGGTCTGACTGAGCGGGGTTTGAATGGGAGGATTTCTGCATGGGCGACGGTATGCAGAGTCGTCGTTCGTGGTCCGCATTTCGTGTTAGAAAGTCGAGTTTCGCCTGTATGTTGCAAAGGAAAGCATGAAACCTACTCTACCACCCTCCCGTCCCCCCACCCTCCCTCCCATCCGTCCCTCGCCTCACCCCTCCCAGGAGTCAGACCAGTACGGAAAGCAGCAGGAGTGGGTTGCCGTACTGTACTCTGGCACGTACTGATTACCGGGGAGCCCGTTCGCCTGCCGGTGCCGGCGAAGCAGCAGCCGCAGTGATGACCAGCAGACAGCGGCAGCACAGGAAGCAGGGCACGCAGTAGCAGCCGCAGCAGAGCCCTGCCTTAGCGGCAACCCCTTCAGTAGCATGTGAGCTCGCGAGCCCCCGGAAATGTTGCTGCCCACTCCCCCTCATGGTAGCTGCCCACGCCGCAGCCACTGGTTGCGCCCCTGCAGCCGCTGCAACAGCTGTAGCTGGGCGTACTCCGGGTCAAGTTCAGGCTCTACTGGTCTGGCGAGGCGCGCTCTATCCGCACCAGCAGCACAGGTTGGGAGCCGGGAGCAAAGCACGACACACTCAGCGAAGTTAACTATGAAGACAGCATACCTTCCCATCACTACGCACATACTCGTGTGGACCAACGTGGCGGCCGTGCACCACTCCGTGCACCACTCCGCTTCCTCCGTTATCCTACCCTCAACCCCAGCAGGCCCCATCGGGCTGCCCCTATGCTGTCGAAGCGTCCTCCCCGCTTCCCTCCACCTCCGGCGGCTGCCCGGTGCAGTCCCCCTCCTCCGCCTCCCCTTCCGCGGACGGTGGCACTCTCAACCCGCTCAACAACATCCCCGCCTCGCTGTCCGCCATGCCTCCCGAGGTCCCCGGCCTCAGCTCGCAGCGGCAGACCTCCAACATCCCCATGTCGCCGCCCGAAAAGTTGCCGCCGCACCAGCAGTCGGGGCAGGACTTCTGGGTCTACCCCTCGGAGCAGATGTTCTTCAACGCCATGAAGCGCAAGGTGGGGGCCGGGGTAGCTGGTTGGGTGTAGATGGTTAGGGGTAGCTGACTAGGAATAGCTTGCTGTGGGGGGGGGGGGGCTGGTGTCAGCATGTAAGGGGGTGTGGCGGCTGGCGGGTGCCTTAGGGACTTGCTAGTTTCTAGTTTGGGAGGGAGGGATGCAAAGGGTCGCCAACCCCTTACCTCCCCCCCTCCCTGTCAGGGTCTCCTGCTGTTCGACCGACACGACTGGATGGTGGACCGCCGCGGCAAGGTGGGGGGCGGGGCGGAGGGGGGCATAGCCGTAGGAAAGGAGCCGTTTCCGTATTTGCATACAGGAATCCCTCAGGGGAAAGGGCGGGACACCGCTCGCCATCGCGGGGGGGCATGTTCGTACCCGTGCAAGTACGGTAGATAGGAAATTGGGAAGGGGCAGCGCTCTTGACTACGATGCGCTGCGGCATGCAGCTAGCAAACGTTCTTCTGGTAGGGATTACACCGCTTGTGCCGGAGGGCTTATGCCTGCCTGCTGCCAAGAACGCCGCATGCTTGCCTCAGTTGTAACCACTTTGACATTGTTCCCGTACTTTATGTCACATGGTCAGTGTTTTGCCTTCGCAATCTTGTAGTATTACATTGGTGAGGGCCCTCTGGGAGGGGTTATATGGTCTTGTACATGTCTTTTTGTCTCCTCTCCCTCTTCCTCCTCCTACCCCACCCCCCTCCCCAGGTGCCTTGACATGTCCATAGTGGCATGGCCCTTTACCCCCACTCCTCCTGCCCTTTACCCCCACCCTCCCCCTGCAGGGCTGGGACCCGCAGGCTGACGACATGCGCAGTGTGGTGGCCATCCACAACTCCGTCAACGAGCGCGCCTGGCGGGAGGTGATGGCGTGGGAGCGGCTGCACTGCCAGGAGTGCGCGGAGCCGCGACTGAAGCGCTTCCAGGGCCGACCCAGCGACCTAAGCCCCAAGGCGCGACTGCTCAACTTCATGGTGCGTGTGTGTGTGGAAGGGGACACGATATCGAATCAATAGATGGGCAGGAAAAGGGGCAGGCAGAGGGGGAGGAGTAGTGGCAGGCCGAGGAGGGTTTTGTTGGGTAGGGAAGCGTAGCGGGGGTCCTAGATATCCTTAAGATGCTATCCCTTCGCGCATATCCCTCTGTATCTCTCTGTTCTCTGTCAGATTCCTATGACGCTGCTGACTCGCGTCCTTGCTGATGACCCGCCCCCTTTACCCCTGCTCCGCCTCTCCCTTTCCCTCCCTCCCAGGGTTCCGGACTGCCCTTCGACCGCCACGACTGGGTGGTGGACCGCTGCGGCAAGGAGGTGAGTGCCCGCCATTCCTGCATGCAGCTAGGGGTGACCGCGCTTGCGCAGCTTCCGGTAGAGGCCATTTGCTCGCCTGCCACAAACGCCTAACTTTTGGAATTATTGCACTTGCATGACACTTTGTTTCCACACATGGTTTTGCCTGGTCTCCATAGGTCCCTCACCATGCAACATCACATCACGTCACAACTCGTTACCATGCTTCCTTGCCTCCACCCTCCCTCCTCCCCGTTCCTTCCCCCCTCCCCAGGTTCGCTACATCATCGACTTCTATAACGGCGCCCCGCAGCCCGGCCAGCGCGCCGCCGCCGCCTTCTTCCTGGACGTGCGGCCCGCACTGGACTCGTTCGAGGCGGCCTGGGACCGGGTGCGCATGCAGCTGTCCTGGGTGACGAGCGGCCGCTGGAGGGACTGAGCGGGGGAGGACGGGAAGACAGAGGAGCCATGCGTTGAGGAGGGGAGAGGGAGGCGCGAGTGGAGGGGTTAAGGAGGATGGATGAATCAGCAGAAGAGGGAGGGAGTGTAAGGAGGAAGGGTGCATAGAGCGGGTAGGCTTTGAAGTATGCGATTGCGGGTCGGCTGCGAGCTCAGGGAGCTCCGTGGCAGGGATGATGATGAGGAGGGAAGGAGTGCGTGCAGGTGATGGGCCGGCTGTTTGTAAGAAGTAAGGAGGGAGGGCTTTGTGCGCGGTTGGGCGGTTTCAGTGCCGTCACGTCACCATGTGGGTCAGGGCTTGGTGTGTCGGGCGTGTGCGACCTCTGGGGCTACGGTGTCCAGGGCGGCGGATGAAGGAGTCACACTTGAGGGCCCTTGCTTGAACACCTAGCCGTGACAAGCGCAATCACGCAGCACAACCCATGCAGCTGCGTATACGCGACGTAAGGTGGAAATAAGAGGCCAGGTCATCGCACGATCGCAGGCCTCACAGCACGGATGCCGCGTACTGTCTGGCACATTTCCGTTACGCACGCAACCACGCAGAGGGGCGAGCTCGGAGTTCTAAACACATACACATAGATACTTATACCTACCTACTTACTACTCCGGTCCTTAGGTCCGGTCGCGTTACGACATTGCTATTACTGCTTTACACTGATTCCGATACTACTCGCTAGCTCTATTCCAACATAGCCAACGGACTTCACTTCACCTGTGGCGTTTTCGGTGGGAGGACTCCATCTTTCGGCAATCACAGTACGTTTCGCCTCGCGGCCAGTTATTTTAACACATAGATAATTCATGCGCTGTCGCATAAATGGGGCTCCGCCGCGGCGCGGCTTCGAGGTGGCGATGCCGCCGTAAAAGCGAGCGCGTGAATTCGACCATACTATAAGACGCAACTTAAATGAACCTGTTACCTTTATCAAATAATATTGTCAGCGTGTCCAGGAAAGTTTACAACGCATAGACGATGACCAGTTAGGAGTCGACGGCAAGAACCACTTACCGGGTGTAGATAACGTCTCTGACGTACCATCCTGCAGCGGCATGTCAAAAATCGATAGGCCCGGACCTCGGCTTTTACGAGGCATCCGAGCATCAGACTAGCAGGCGAAGACATGCTCGGCGTTGTTTTCAGCTAGTCGGCATGCTAAGAAAGATGCTCATGCAACGCACCACAATTTACTTCCACTGCAATGGAGGTGATGCGAAAGAACACGACAAGCGGTGTTCGCTTTCTCTTAGCTGGAAAAGGATGGAGCCCCTTGACGCGGCTACGAACATATGATGGCCACTGGAATGACAGGCATGCGTATCTGTGACCCCATGGCACCAGCTGAGCTGACACCCCTTATAAAAGGCGCTGGCAGGTCTTTTTGGGAAACCTTTGGCTGGAAAGCCGTAATAACAACCCTTGCTTAAGAAGCCGACACCCCTTGCCTGCAAAAAATACTGCCCGTGCCGGCGGTGGACGGGTCGGGCTTGGGGTATTAGCTGGCGTGCTTGGTGTCATCCCTCTCGCTGACACACCTTGCTTGGGAAGGTGACATCCCTTTTGCTTGAAGTTGTTGTGTTTGATGCATGCATGATCTGGCGAGCTGGCAACCCTTTCTCCAGTAAAGGCTGACAGGCATGTCGCTTTGACACCGACATGTGCTAGTGCTGTGTACAGTGTAAGATAGCATATCCATGCCTCAGGGCGGAGCCCCCGCCGTGACACCGCTTTAAGAGGGCGATGGGGCCCCTTAGGATTGCCCACCTCCTTGTGTGCGTGCGTGCGTCCGTATTGACAAAACTTTGGCTGCTAGGTACTGTCCTATGTAACAGACAACCAACTTGGAGGTACAGGCTAACAGGAACGGGTTCCCAGTAGATGCAAGCATGGCCCCACCGACTTTTGCAACTTTGCGCTTTGCAACAAACCGCTGTTACCTACCATTGCTGTTATTTATTCTGTGTTATAATACAGAACCGGTTAAACGTCATATTCATAGGAGCGGTGTCGGTGGCCGATGTGGATGGCTGGTAATGAAATTGTTTGCGGCGAAACGGTTTTTGCTGAAGTGGCACCTAGTTTTGCCCAATAGAGATATTACAAAATGTTAATTTCAAGTTCCAGTCTGGATTAAAATAATATGCTTCGCCGTTAAATTATACGCGCACGGACGTATGGACATCGCAACGGGGGCTCCGCTTACTTGCAGTGAGCGGTAAAACAGTTCCAAGGAAAGCAGTAAGCCGTAAACTGGCGGCGGAGCTTGGAGTGATCCCAGGCGCCAGACCTGCCCATTCTCGGTGACCCCTGCTCGGTACGAAAGGCGCCGACGGGTACTGGAATGGCAATTACGTTCTTAAGATCCAATACACACCATATGGAGTTACCCGTACGCGCACCATACACACGACACCGAGGGCAAGTTCACCATCGACAGGCGCACGCCAGCTACTAGTACGTTCCTACGCACAAGACTACATCCAATTTATTGTAACAGAAACTGTTTCTCCCTCCATGGCCAGTTGTGTCACCTCGCGGCCTATTGAGGATTTGACATTTCAGTAAACTGACCTCTGCCCCAAGGCAAGCAAACCGAGTTTCAGCTGTAGGCCCATCACAAGCACCCAATTTGAACCATAGCGGCCAACTGCTGCCGCCGAACCAACAATTCGGCCTTGGAGGCTCACCCCCCAGCCACGCTCCCCGCAAGTCTCAAAGCCGCGGAGCAGCACGAGATTAACAAGAAAGCGCCAAGCAAATTAGTACTAAATACGGCAAAAGGGCCCGTAGAACACACTAACGACACAAACGGCATGTGCCATTAACCCATTATAGCAGGCAACCAGCAAAGGCAACCGCCGGAGCAAGAAGGAACGGACCTAGCGACCGAGTCCACCGGCAACCAGTGTTATACGATACGTGGCACGCACTACGGACCCCACTACGGAGGTACGACATGACCGCCACAAATATTTCTTGGCCATTGCCGTGAAGCATTGCTAAGAAGAAGCTAGTTCAGGAGACTCAAGAAACTAATTCCTAGTGTACGCCTGTCTGCAGAAAACCAATTCTCGTTGCCCTCCTCCACCTTTGTCTGGGCTTACTTTTGGAATGTTGCCTACGGTATATGCACCCGAAGGCGGCCTGACCCTTACGCTACTAACCATCTAACCAAAACTAAAAACCGCTGCATTCGCCGCACCTCCTCATCAGCTAAACAACAAAGCAGGAACCGTATGTAAGCACAAGCAAGGTCCACATGACGGCCACAATACTCTCAATACCTGCGCGGCAAGACAAATACCACTGCAACCGTTCTAACTCTCATTGTTCTAAGCAGGGAACCGCAACTAAGGCAGGTAGACGTCGCAAATCCAGACCATTACGCTAGTACTGGAGACGCCCTAAGGATTATTCCAGCCTAATAAACGCCAACAACCCAATAGCAATTGGCACATTACACGGTATCCATCAACGGCAACCATCTTATAACGGCTGGCAGCGGGGGCTTGCACAAATGCCCACTCAATCAGGTCTCCCACGGATGCCGGCGATACACGTCGGCACAAACGGCCCACCAGCAGGCCCACCAAGGCGACGAGGCCTCCGTCAGGTGCAGGCGCTCTCAAGCAAATAACTATTGATTAGCACTAATAAACATTAGAAATCCGCATGTTCCCGGTGGACCGAACGGTCACGGAGAAAAAGGTATTCCATTGGGCAGAACAGCCATACGCGCGGCACTTGGGGCCCACAAGCAAAGACCCCGACAAAACTGCACATGGAAACTGACTCCGAAGTGTCATTCCACCCGACTACGAAGACACTCACAGGCCGTGGTAGACTGACCAGATGCCCTCAAGCAGCAGAAACCGCTAGCCGCCAGCATTGCGGCACTTCTAGCTGCCATACAGGTCACGATCAGGCAATGCGGACGAATATCCTGAAGGGCAAGTCGTACACAAGTATTTGCGCAATCGACCGTGCTGCTGCAACGGCGGTAAAAGATGGCTGGCTAGAACCCCGACAAGTAATTGGGATAAAAACCCGTACGAAAAGTATATCAACCACCATATGCAGCATTACTTAACAAGCAATTTACCACGCACCCCAGTGCACGGTCTTGGTCCCAAACCACTCAACACACAGCATAGATTAATCCCAAACGATGTCCAGATAATAGTTTCCGATCGATGAGCATGTACATACCCTCCGGGTATGTACATGCTCATCAAATGACACAGGGCCGGTTGCTAGCACATTGTACTCGTCCATCCTAGCCACGCACACAGTTCAGACAACACATGCATGAAAATGTGACTTACGGGGGCCTCCGTCTTTTTGTAGGTGGCACTTGGAAGTCAGGATTATCTCAGATGAGCGTGTCATTAACCAATCATAATGATCACGCTGCTGCCCTTTTCACTGTTGTCCTCTCCTGTGGCAGTGTCAACGCTGGATTGTGCCTGCCACTGCTGCACCTGTGGCGACGGTGGCGCGGTGCCAGAGCCGTAAGATGCCAGCACTGCCGGCGGGACCATGGGCAGATACTCCTCCACTTCATCAGCCACCTCTTCCAGGTGCGGCGGTGTTGGCAATGCTGGTGGCTGCGGTGGTGCTTGCCACGCTGCCTTCTCAAGCTCATGTAGGATTGCCTGGATGGCCCGCAGCTCACCTCCGTCAGCATCAAACGCCAGCATCAGATACGCTTCCTCCTTTGGGGGAGAGCGTAACTCCTTAATGTACCTGCCGGGATAGTCATAGCCCAAGCTAAGACCGGGGTCATTGAATTTTGCCAGCACCACCGGGTGGAAACGTGCGGTGCGCAGCAGCACCTCCGCCAGTAGGGGGTTGTCAAGCAGGGCCTGGTACTCCGCGCATTTCACCTGCAAAGCCGAGAAACCGTAACAATGTATATGTTACCAGTTATATGTCCCCTTAGCCCCTCCACAATACATACCAGCCTGGGTTTGATACTCGCTGGTGCTTTCACCACGCTGCTTAGCAAGTCCACCAGCTGCCTCAGTGCAGCTTTACGCATTTCTATCGTCCCATCCTCAATAGCTGAGGTCAGGCGGCCGAGGGGCGCCATGCAGGTCTCTGCTACTGGTGCTTTCGTGCCAGGTGTGTCGTTGTCAGGATCCTGAGTGTGGACACGCCAGGCATGTAAGTAAGGGAGCGTTCTTCACGATTAAGCATCCAGGGACTCTTTAAAGTGTGCAATGAAGTCCTTCGTAAGCACCTAAATGCAAGCCCCCACTTCCATGGTCACGTACCGTGTAGAGGTTCCAGCACGCTAGCTGCATTTCATCCCCACCGCAGATCTTGGTAATGATTAGTCGCACACGCCGGACCAGCGGGGCAGCAGCGCCAACTAAGGAGGACGTGAAGCGCGTGAAAGCTCTTGGGTGGAAGCGCCCAGGGAAGGTCTGGTTGCTCCGCTCGTCCAAAACAGTCCATACGTCCT